TCATGCAACTCCCTATGTTTCGTTCTATTTCGGAAATCCAAGAGGAATTTAATTGCATATTTTATTTGAATGATGAGTGTATTAATATTAATCAATTTAATATATCTTTTCGTAATATCATTTGACTGGATAGTCATCATCTCTCACTGGAATGTGAATTAATAACTAAAGTTAAACACATTTTATAAACTTATAACATAAAGACATCTGCCTTATTCTTTATGAAAAAACCTAAGGTGCTGATAGAATAAAACTGAGGGAGTATTTTCTCTAAACTAAAATTTAAAAGTGTAACTTGTTCAGATACTTGCTTAGAGAAGAGCATTTACCTTTACACATATGGAGAAATTGCAGATTTGGTTTGTGGTTATAACTATTATGTATACTTGACTTGTGATTTTGGTACTATGAAAATGGTATTTTATGAAATATGTTTCTTTTCACAGTTGCCGGAATAACACATCAATTTATTATTAATACATTATAACTGTGGCATGTCCTATCAGAAGTTATGATTTTTGTCTACGCTAGTTACTGTTCTTGTATCTGACAAGAAATTTGCATAATGTGTCCTCCATTTTCCCCCACCTCTATTCTTCTAACTGGTGAATTGTGAATCAGCTCTTGGAAGAGGAGGTAGAGGTTCCAGTTGTAGAAGAGCCGGCGAAGGAGGCTACAAAGATGGAAACAGATGAGCCTCCTTCTGCTCCTCCTAATGCTGCTGAAACTGATGTTAATATGCAAGATACTAAAACGGATGGTGCTGGAGACAATAATGGCGTGCCTGAATCTGGAGATAAATCAGCTCAGATGGACACAGATGTCAAGGTTAGCTTTAATAGTACAGATGTAGTGCTAAACAGTTTTATATACGCATGGTTCTCTTCTTTTTCTACTTTCTATCATGCAGCAGAACATATAATTTCTCTGCCCTCCTTTTATTTGTACTGATTTTGATAACATGTTTTACCATTCAATTCTGGTTGTTTGTGTGGCTCGTAAGGTAAATAACTTGCATTTGGCTTGGTTATACCCAACTTTCGTGTAGCTTCTCTACACTTGCAAATGGGCTATGGGTGCTTCTGGGAGTTGTAGCATATTCATTTTTTTTTTTCTTGGCTAGAGATTAGTGTTCTTTATTTCTTTATTAATTTGGCAAAATTGTAAAATATGCTTAGTAAATTGGGGTAGACGACAGATATATCCAGTAACTTCTGTGATTATAGAAAATGCCCACTAAATACTAAAAATCAAGCACAGTATGGTAAAGCTGTGAAGTTAAATTGGGGTAGATGACAAATTTGTACAATTACTTCTGTGATTATAGAAACTGCGCGCTAATTTGCAATTTCACCTATTAATCTTTTAGTGAGTGAATTTGAGGTGAAAAAAGAATGTAGTTTCAAGTTAATTTTCAGGAAAAGGGAATATTTGTATAGAAAAAATTTGATGGGTAATGAATAGAAAAAATTTGTTGTGTAATATATGTATATGAACTCAATTCAGAATGAGAAGCATATCAATTGCAACTCACCCTTAATATGTATCCTCTTCATACTAGAGTCTGGATGTATTATTCCCAAAGGGTTTCCACACCAAGTTTGCTGTTCTGTGTTCATCAGGTTGAAGCTCCAAAGAAAAAGGTTAAGAAAACCAATGTACCTGTCTCGGAGATTATATATGGTGGGTTGTCAGCTGCCGATGTGCAAAAAGCTGTAGAGAAGGAGTTTGAAATGGCTTTGCAGGATCGGATTATGGAGGAGACCAAGGACAAGAAGAATGCGGTTGAGGCTTATGTTTATGACATGCGGAACAAGGTATGCATGAGTTTCGATGGCTTTGCAGATAGTATTTTAACTCTTTTGACACTCACAATTTCTCTGTCTGCAGCTTCATGACAAGTATCATGAGTTTGTAACCGAATTGGATAGAGAGCAAGTTATTGCCAGACTGCAGGAGGTGGAAGATTGGTTGTACGAGGATGGTGAAGATGAAACAAAAGGGGTCTATATTGCTAAGCTGGATGAGCTCAAAAAGGTGAGTGTTCTGTTTTTGGCTTTCTGCCTTTGCGTTCATTTCCTAGTTTTAAGTGATCGTCACAAAAAATTGTCATTACGTTTGGTTTGCCTCAATTGTGGATTACCTCAACTATCCACTAAAAGTTTCTTTCCCGCCTCTATGCTCTCTCTCTCTCTCTTTTTTTTTGTTTACTATTTTTTAAATCTTCTGACATGCATTTTTTTTAATTATAATATTTATTGAGACGACTATTTAATTTACTTTGGCATTATATATAATTATGTATAGCTAGGTGACCCTATAGAAGAGAGGTACAAGGAGCATACTGAAAGAGGAGCAGTCATTGACCAACTCACCTATTGCATCAACAGTTACAGAGAAGCTGCTGCGTCGAGTGATCCCAAGTTCGATCACATTGATCTTGCAGAGAAGCAGAAGGTATATATTATCTGAGCCCTAATAATTAATCTCTTTTTGATCCCACTGGAAGATCTGAAGGGCACCAATCGGAAATTCTTAATTGGGTTTGTTTACTATTTTTATGTGATCTTTAAGTCATTTGTGGTTCACTCTGTTCAGGTCCTGAACGAATGTGTGGAAGCTGAAGCTTGGCTGAGGGAGAAAAAGCAGCACCAGGATACCCTCCCCAAGTATGCCACACCGGTTCTTTTGTCTGCCGACATTAGGAAAAGAGCCGAAGCTCTCGACAGGTAAACATTTGTGTTTGTATGCCAGTTCCATTGAGGGGTTTATATGTATGGCATCTGTGTTATTACATGTACACTTTATACCAACCAAGCATGTGAAGCCATAACTGATGGACGCAAGGATATTTTTATGGTGGTGAAGATATTAATTAGCTGCTGAGAGTTATTATAAACTTTAATCCTTATTCCAACGGATACGTACAAAAGCTAATCCAAGGTTGTAGTCTTGATTACCACAAAGCCCAGTTTTATTAACGTTGCTATAAAATACCCTCTGGAGTATCAACCACCCCTTTAGTTTTGTCGATCTAAGACAAGCTATATATGCCTCCACAGGTTTTGCAGGCCAATCATGACGAAACCAAAGCCCACGAAGCCAGCCACTCCCGAGCCACCAGCCCAAAGTGGAGAGGCTCATTCGCAAGGGACAGAAAATGCCAGCCCGGCCCGGAGTGCCAGCCCAGAAGACAATGCTGCAGGATCTGAAAACCAAGCACCACCAGCTGAGGCAGAGCCCATGGAGACAGACAAACCGCAGACAACACAGACTTAGTAATGAGTTGGCGAATGATCAATATTTATGGCGATAAGGAAATGTTTGGTTTACTTTAATGCCGTGGAGATTTGAAGTTTGGACTTAATTTTTTGAGCTGTGTGCTTTTCCTGAGATGCTTGTGGATGTGTTGGTTTTGGACTTAGTTCCATAATATATAAATATATAGGTGAGTTTCATGCCTCTATATTTTATTTATTTATTTATTTTTTTTATTCCAGCAAAGGAAGGTTTTGTAAGGAGTTTCATGCACCTCGTTTGGTTTAGGGATGGATTATGGATATCGGATGCTCTTTTTTGTGCATCTTTTTGAAAGGTATTGATGATGTGATACCCATAAATGCATATAGGGCTTGACCAATTAAATTGGTAGAAAATTGGATTTATTTTCAGCACTATTTACTTGTCGACCAACGAGAAACGAAATTGTCATATTTACTTTATAAATTGTAATGTTTATTGTTTTACGTAGCCGTATAATCTTTCTTTTACAAGCCTGATAGTCATATAAAAAGTGTATATATTTGAGGAAAAAAATATATTTTGCTTAATGGAACCCACTCCCCCCCCCCCTTCCAAAAAAAAAGGCTCCCTAAAAGGGATAACACTCAGTAAGTATATTTTTTAGTTTGCCCACATTTTTTTTTTCGGCTGATGACACTATTTTTTTTTACTTAAGTTGATAATAGTCAAGTCCCGATTTTTCTTGATATCCTAAAACATTATCAGACTATTGTTGGTCAGAAAGTGAATCGAGGAAAATTGTCTATTTTTTCAGTAAAGAACATTCCTCAAAGAATGCAAGACCAAATATGTCAGACTATCTTTTGTATCATTGCTCAAACCTCCTCAAAGTATTTAGAGTTACCCTTAGGAATTGAGAATTCCAAAACTGAAACTTTCTCTGTTGTGGAGGAATCAATTAGAAGAAAATTCTAAATTGGAATAACAAGTTTCTTTCTTTTGCAGGTGATGGGTCTCCTCCCAGATCTAGAAAGAACCGGTGGAAATGAGCTCCGGTCTGTTCGAATCGTCTCCAAGTCGTCCGTGAACCGCTGCAAACACCTGCAAGAACTCAGCACCGGGAGTGTTTCCAGTGAAGAGCCTCCGACGCTCAAGTCAGTGAAAGGGAAGAAGATGAGCTCTGCTCAGTAGGAGCAACAGCTGAAGAATGAATGGAGAGAATGAAAGTTAGGGTTTGGAATCACCTCAGCTCCTTTATATAGGAGTAGGAACACTTACTTGAAGTACCTAAAATGCCCTGGCCGACTTACGCGAAGTGTCTAAAATACCCTGGTCGGTTCGCATTCTGCCCACTCCTGAGTCAGCATGGAGATTCCTCCTTATCCTATGTAGATTCATTCTTGTTTAGAGATCTCCTTTCAATGTATTGAAGTATATATGAGTCGTCGGAGCTTGTCGTCTAAAAGTGGGATAAGTCGACTCTCAACAATACCGAGCCGACTTAAGTCATTCGGGAGCCTTCGGAGGTTGTGCTCCGCTTACTCGTCTTTCAAATAGAGGTCGACTTGGGGAAGTTGTCTTGGAGCCGTCATCGGGTGTGCGGCGATCCCTGGATGGCTTCTGGACAAAGTCGACCTGGGGAAAGTCGACTTACTGATGTCGTCATTAGCATTCTTTAGTCGAGTGGCTTTCGTCCGAACCGGTCTATGATAATAGGGCTATATCATCTACCCCCCCCCCCCCCNCCACCAAAATTATTCTAAGCTATTCATAGCTTAAGAGTAAGTTAGGAGGTCGGGCATTTCTTGGGCCTTCTCGATCGTCTCGACGCCCTCAATGAGCATCTCGACTTATGCTCCCAGATCTCTGGGTTTCAACCGTTGGGACTTTTCGGATAAGCTCCCCTGCTCTTCTGACAGCTTTTTCATATTTTGAATTTCGAATTCTGATTAATGATGGGCGCCGCTTCGAAATTCTATCTCCTCGTATTTTGTGCTCTTTTTCATCCGTTAGATTTCATCTTGATCCTAGGGTTAGGGTTCCAGGACTCACATTATAAATATCGCCCTTTCCCCTCTTTCTCCCACTTTTCGCATTCCATGACTTCCAAGCTCTCTATTTTCTCGGGCAATAAGGCGTACAGCTTCCCCGACGCTCATATTTTTTCGGCGACTTTCTTGAACTTCTCTACATTTCTCCGACACATCAACATGTGTAAGTTCTACTATCTCTTCTGTGAATCTTTATTATCTTATTTTTTCTGGGATTCGGATATGAGTGTTCATAAGGGTTATTGTTTTCTGGTATTTTCTCGAACCATTCTTAGCAGTTTTCACTGTTAGATCTTTAACGTGGGTGTTATACCTTCCTCCGGGTGTTTGTTCTTGCGTATGCTTAAGATTTAGCGTCGACTCGCCATCTTTGTAAGTCGATTAATGTTGGTTTATGAATCTCCTGAGTCGACAGTCCCATAACGGGCAGTCGACCTGGATTCGGGGCCTTTGCTACCTACTATTTACTCCCATGTCGAGCCGGGCTATACTCATCCAACTCTTCGTCCTTGTCTATACAACTTCTTTCTTCTTTTTTGTAAATCGACTTTTGACTGTAGTCGTTTTTGCGTCGATGTGCTCACATTTCCTAGCCCTCGGTGTCTAGTTTTATGTTCCGCCATACTGATCATTCTTCTCGACTTTTCACTAGATTCTGACTCTGATCCCGTCTCTGGTTCCCTTGGTCGTCAAATCGATGAGTATTCGAGCTCTACTTCCCTTCAAATAATCAACTTTAGACCAGCAGTCGAGCCGAGGGATTCTCCTAACTCTGCCACCTCCTCCTTTGGAATTGATTGGGATGAATATAATCAGACATTGCTATCGGACACCCTTAACAAAAGCCCTAATTCTCTGCAGGCCGAGTCTTCTCGACTTAACCTCTTTCCTCGAGGTATTCCTCTTAGGTTGTTAGAAATACCTGTATATAGGACGAGTCCTATACCTTCCCCAACAATAGCTCTTCCTACTGAGCCCAAACATGTTTTAACATTAGCCTGCCCGTTGGCCAAGTTAGCCATACTTAACCCTTTTTCTTATGCCCCTGCAGTCGAAGTCAAGGGTTTTAGGGCTTTCAGCGGACTTCCTTCTGACTGGGAACTGCTCGTTCATGGGCCCAATGACGATTTCAGACATCCTCCGTCTGGATGCTTCACATTCCTTGTTGACCAAATCATGTTCGGCTTGCGATTTCCCATCCAACCAGAACTCTTGTCGATTAGCGACTTATACGGTGTGCCAATAAACCAATTTTCTCCTAACGCAATCCGCATCATGGTTGCCTTCATAATTATCTCCAAAATAAAGCTTCGATATTTCTCTCCCGAGTTTCTTTTTTACTGTTATAGTTATAGGTTCATAAAGGACGCCCATTGCTTGGGTCGTCGTCCTAGTGTGACATTTATTGACGATCTCTCTTCTAATGTCACCGAGTGGAAAACCAAGTTCGTCTATATCCGTCCTGCCCCTGGAAAGTTCCCGTATAGTAACGTTTGGCTAACCAGTAGAGTTAATCAGAATAATAGACCCAAGTCCTCCCAATTTGCTGCCATGCTAGACGACCTAAATAAGTGTACTTGGAGTGCACGTCTTATGGTTAAGGATCGTTCTCTCTTACACCACTGTGGAATTTGTGTCGATGAGGATGCTTCTCCAATCGGTGATCCTCGTAAGTTTATGTCGTCTCTGATTTGCTATCATATGTCCTTGGCGTTTTACATTTTTCTTTTATTGTGTATATTGCTCGTCTTGACTAGCAGCGACTATTTTTAGTCGCCTTACTTTTGCGTTTTCCAGTTAAAGCCTTAGCTCGTTTCGAGACCAAGAAGGCCAAGGCGGCGCTAAGTCCGTTAATCCTCCTTCTGCGAAATAACCCGATGATGACTCTGGGTCGGGTGTGAGGGTTGCGGCAGTCGAGAAGACTGCCCGAAAAAGTCGAAAGTGACGGTTCCATCAGCTGCGCAGCAACAAAAATTGTCGGGTTCCCAATCATGCAAAAGGGCCCAAGACGAGGCAGACTTTGTCTTGGTGCCTGATTCGCTCAAATGCCCTAAAAATAAGGATAAGGGGAAGTCTGTCGCTCCTCCTTCCCCCTCGTCTGTGGAAGTCGAGAAGGTCACTCTCGAGAGGCCGTCCCGACTTTGGAACCACCTAGAGCCTCATGAGGTGGCTAAGTATTTTGACGTTGTCCTCCCTTCTGCTGACAAGGCTCGCACCGACCGCGACCCTCACCACCGTGCTAACTGTGCTCTTCTATGCTTTTCCCGAGTAATTATCTCGACTTTGATTTGGCTTGCTTTTATCCTTGTTTGATTCTAATCCTTTGTTTTTTTTTTAGTTCTTAGTGTATGCTATGCCAACCCTTCTCGAGGAGTCGAGATCACCTGATTCTACTCTTCAAGCTTACAAGAAGAAGTCTGAGGAGCAGGTCCTCGAGCTCGAGACGAAGGAGGATGACCTTGCAGCTGTGAAAGCGGTGATTGCAAAGTTGAGGACCGAGAAGGCCGCCGCCCTCGCGAAAGTCGACAAAATTCGCGCCGATCTTGCGAAAGCTGTTGATGATAACGTGTCTGAAAGGAAGATCGCGAAAGAGGAAGGGCGCAGATCTTTTCTCAAATCGCCGATGGGCTCAGTCTTCCTCGACGCCTACCGGAAGGAGGTTGTCGCAGCGTTCTGTAACTCTTCCGACTTCCTCGAGAAGTTATGTCCCGCAACCCTCCAGTATTTTCACTTCACGTTCAACGCGTGGGAGTCGGCTGCGAAGGGCACTTTTCTCGAGGGAAAAGTCAACCGTCAAGTTCTGAAGGAGTCCCTTCCTCTCCCAGACGGCTATCATGGTGATTCATTGCTTCCAGATAATTACTCTTGGTGGTCGGGACTCGAGGCCCGGGCCATCCGCAAGGCTAGGTTGGTTGACCAGCTCGAGGTTCCTCTTAGTCCTTTGTCTAGTCCGGTCGAGCTGGTCGAGGCAAGCGGAGCTGACCA